AATGCCTTTTAGATGATTCAAACAGCTGCACAAAAATCAAAAGGAGTCAGAGATGCCTTTTGTTACCAAGGAGGTGGACGGCAACTGCAAGATGTAGAAAATAAGCGATTAAAAATGAGGATTAGTGGCAGCAGCAGCAGGGAAGCGATGATTAAACTCCCAATAAACTCAGTGTGCAACCCAAAGCAGCAACAGTGGCTGTAAACTGAATTAGGAAGCAGAGAGGTTTACCCAAGATCCCTTTCGTGAAGAAGGAAGCAATAGCAGGAGATGGGGGTCGCAACATGAAACAGAGTTTGAAACATCCCACGAGAATGAATAGCTAATTTAGAAAAAGGATATTGATTTAAGCTTCTTAAGATGGTTTCAGGATATTGAATAAGTTCACAGATAGAATCCAGAACTTAGAGATGTGGAGGAATTTTAAGCATTGAATAGGAACAAAATTTGAATCTGAATTTAGAATTCAAGAAGGGAGAATAAGTTGAAGAAAATCTAGAAAGGGTAATGAATTCAAAATCTAAATTTGAATCTAATTTGGGATCTTTATTTATGATTTCTGACTTGAATCTTTCGAGGAGAATATAGTTGAGAGATTTGTGGATCCAGTTTTGTTGGGGGAAAAGCAAGGTGGAAGGATTGGCAAGTGGGAGAAGAGACGTAATGTGTGGATTTTGGATAATTTAAGGGCCAATTGGTTCAGTGAATTTGTGTTGTATCATAATTCTTTTCCAGGAATTTGAGAAAATTATGCTTTTGGTGTGAAAAATTACAAAAAAAATGTAAATTATGAATGAATTCGAAGTTTATACCATAGTACATTTTCAATGAATTTAGAATTCAACCGATATGACCAAATTTGAATTACACTGTACTTTAAAATATAGAATACTATCGGCAAGCAGTCACCCCCAGCCCTTCGCTAACTTCATGAAACCTGGTAATATTGTTGGTGCAAAGCCACAAAATAATGTGCTCAACCCATTTACATTTTTTGGGTCAATATATAGAAGGGAAACCTTGCATGGCTTAACACAACCCCAAAATATATGTCTAATACTCATTTCAACTCAACAACCAAGAATACCTTAGAAAAAGGTTCAAAATATTGCATCCAATTTTGATTCAAATAAATGTACTAATTCCCCATAAATATAAAAACATATTGATATTTTAATTTTCAACAGTGTACTGTAAATATGAGCAATCAAGGAGTTCCAATATGTTCAATGTGTCTCAACCATCAATAGAACCTAAAACTATACATATCAAATCATTATAACCAGCATAGGCACCCATATCAATATTTGATGCAAGCTAAATGATTTTTTCTTAAAAATTGATAATTGTTAAATGGTAGATACTGTTTTTCTCATTCTTTCTAGTACAATCAACTATCACCAAACAACTCAACACATCCAATATTCATTGTTCCAGTTGAAAGAAAAACACAATATTCACTTCCACTATAAGATCATTTCAAAAACATTCTCCCTTTTTTAAAAAATATATGAAAAGGAGAATAGGTTGATATTCTCCATAACATTATTTCTTAACACAAAGTTTTATAAGCTGCCCCAAACGCAGACTATAAAACTACTCAATACATTCAAAATGAAATGTCACAGTTGAAACAAAAGCTCAAAATTCACTGCCACTATAAACTACTCAATGAGGAATGATCAAACTAGAAGTAGCAAGCCTTACAGCCGCAACCCTACTAATTTTCCAAACAGGATAAGGCATCCATCAATTTTTTATAGGATAGCCAAAATAAAGGATCGCACAGATCAAGCACCCCAGATCAATGTCATTGATCAAACAGGGCTACCTCAACTTTGCAAATAACTATTGAAGCCACATCAAACCAGTTAAACATTCCCCCAATTATTTTTACTTGCACAGACTCAAATCCAAAAATCGCAGAACACCATAACAGATAAATAGGAATTGACAATTCATCACACACCCAACCGTCACAAGCTTCTCAAAGCCAAATGAAAACGAGAAAGAAAAAAATCTCACCAAAAATCAATTGCACCAAAAACCACCGTAAGAACAACTTACAGAGCACCGCAGCAAGAGATCGGATGGAGGATGGAGGAAGAGGAGGAGAAATGGAAAGATCGAGAGCGACCTTTGAGAGGGACACGATATCGATCGAAGAAGGGGATGAGATTGGAGGAGGGCACTGGACGAGAGCATGTAGCGTCAATTTGTTTCGGCAAACGTGGGCCGCAGGGGAAACCCGCGGCTGCATTTAACAAATATTATTAAGGGGTTATTAGAAAACGCACTTCAAACGCAATTTTCAAACGCCCCTACCAGCGTTTTCAAAACGCAATGCAACCAATAAGATGCCCAAACGCACCCTAAGTCAGCAATAATATTCGTATTTCTGAGTCGTGGTTTGGTTTAACTCTGGTATCACTTGACCAATATAATGTTTCATGTAATAAACTACAATTAACATAATTTCTTTTTAGAACATTATCATAATATTTAAATTTTAAGAAAACAAAAATATAACATTAGATGATGGTTTAAATTAAAGAATGTTTTATCTAGGTATAATACCAATAGCAAAAAAAATTAAACTTTAAAATTAAAATAAAATGATTCTATGCAGCATATTTAGACCAAGTATAGTAAATGGATGATTATATTTACATTTACAGTGAGTTTATATTAAAAAAAAATTAGAATATATAAGAGCAATTATTTTTATAATGATTTATAATGAGAGCGGGAGAGGATCGATGAAAAGCGGAGCACATGAAAGATGGATTAGTTAAGCAAATCAACATGAGAAAAGGAAGATCAAAAAAATCATAAGCAAGTTAGCAAGGAGAGCATGACAAGGACCATAGGTTATAGAGAGCCAAGGAAGGATAGTCATAAGGGGTTTGAGGAGAGTTTCAAATGATCAAAGAGAAACAAGGGAAAATGTAAGACTTGTTTGTTTTCTTTCTTTTTTTTTTCAAATGACCTATAGATCATGGACAATGATGCTAATGAGAGAAAAACAGGTTTGACGGCACATAAGATGAGATGTGGCTATAGGACAAAAAGTGAACAGAGCCAGGGCAATTCCTACAAAGGACATTGTGTACATATGCGATGTAGAGTGTAAAAGCGTGTAAAATTTTAGTTATCATAAAAGAGTTTACAGAAGTTGGGTTATGGTAAACATTTAAATTAAGCTTCATACCTGAATTCCTTCCTGCAGCAAAATTAATTTTTTTGTGTTTTAGTCTTTTCACTGATTACCTTAAACATGTATTGAAATCAATTAAATATAAATTTTTTAAAATTTCATTTTAATTATTTATAATTAATAACTTAAATAATTTAATATTTTACCTTAGTTATCCTCTCCCATGCCCTAATGTAATTGAACCGAGCATTAAGGCAAGGTCGAGCATTAAACCAAGAGCAGATCTTCTCCTTCCTCCCCCCATCCCCTCAAGTGATTCTGGTTCACTACGCACTAGAGATCAGCTCCCTCCCGCACAAACTCAACCCGTCATCTCTTCCTCTTCAATTTTCTTCCTCTCCTCTTTTTTTTCGATGGTTGGTACGATCGAAGCTGTTACCTGCACACAGCTCACTTCTTCCTCCTCTGTGCATGATACCCAACTCATCTCCTCCTTCGCACGGGGCTCCTTCCCTTCGATCAGCCACACGACACCAAAGCCGACTTCTCCTTCGCCGCTCAAAACTAACACCGAGAGCTTCCGCCTACCATTTCCTCGATAATGTCCCCTCCCGCACTAGAATGTGGCGTCTCTTCTATCTTCTCTCTTCTCCCTACTCTCATCTCTACAAGGAAGTAAATCTAGCCTTGTCGTGTTGTTTTATAGAGCAAACTCATCTTTTTGGCTTCCACCCCTTCGCTTCCTCTCCCCTTTATTCAATTTCCTCAACTCCTCGTTTCTTCTTCATTGGTTTCTCTTGAGCAGACAACTTTTTAATTCCTCCACCGGTAAATAAAACGGGACATTACAAGATTTATGTAGTCGACCCACCTTAGTGGAATAAAGGCTTCTTATTGTTGTTGTCATTATTGTTGTATGATTCTAAGGCAATGATGAAGAAAGCAACTTCATAAAAAGTTGTGGTGGGAATTAAAAATATAACTTTTTTTTCCAAAAAAAAATTGACAGCAATTTTTATACATCCACCGCACTTTAATGGATAGCGATCAAAAAAATTATTTCCCTCTACAGAAATTTCTATAGAGTAGAGCGTAAATGAAATAGAAAGCTACCCCAAACAGACCCTAAAAGTGGCTAAAATTATGTTTTATCATTAACTTGATTAGGTTTAAGCATAGTGCTTGTGTCAATTCCCATAATTAAATTCATTACACAAGGAATAATCCTAAGAACTTGTAATGGAGACTTTGATCAGACCAACTAATCCTTTGATTAGTAAGACAAGGCTGCCAGGGTTTAACTTTGGTGCATAAGAGTTAACTCAGAGAAGCTAATCGGTCCCAATTGAAGTAGACACTTGTTTCCAAAACAGCACTCCACAAGTCATTACAGTTAATGATCCTTGGTATTTCATGCTTCTTTAACCAAGGCCTAGTTCTATATTTACATTATTCCATTTCACCAATGTGTCTCTTTGAAGGTCACCTGGAAATAATAAAGCCTTGAAGGATGTGGATCAAATTTGGATACTGAAAAAATTCATCTATTTTAAAGTACAAATCTTGGTCTAAACTCAATCTAGAATTGTCTATCTAAAGTTATTGCAAATAACAATTCTTAACAATATTTCAGCATTTCATAAAATACTTTATTCGCCACCTTAAAACTTTTTTAGCATAGTTTTTCCTTAGGTTGTGTGCTTATTTCAACCACTATAAAGAGCAAACAAAGCCTGGAAACCAAAGCTGAAATGAAGCATATTAGTTTGGAATTCAAATTGCTATATGGTACATATTAAAAGTGAAAGTCAGATTACTTATAGTACGGTGTTAAAAGACAAACCCTTTTTCCTCTGTTAGATGCAAAAAATGCCCCTGAGGCCATGGAGTCTGAAGGAAGAAGGTACTCAAGTTTCTCATAAATGTCTTCAAGGTGGAATGTTGAAACTGGATGCGTTCTCCCTTCTACACTAATGATTGGACAATGTCCGAAGTATTTTGAAAACAAACTTGAATCAAAAGTGGCAGACCTAAACAAATAATGTACTAATGTGAACCAGAATATAGAAAAGTCAATAATGAGTTAATCACATGATTAAAGCATGCCAAATATTTAGTGAGAGAAACAGGTAGAAGATTTAAAATACATGAGAATGACTTTCAGCTTGCTTCTGCAACTGTTGCAACTAGATTGCCTCTTGATAATGCTTTTCAGAATAATTAGTAAGAAGTCACCCTGAGAAAAAAAAAATGAGTACTAGTTAAGAAATTGGTTATTTTATGACAAAAACAATAAAAAATTGTAGTTTGTGCCAAACTAAACAGTTTTGTAAAATGTTTTGAGACGACATTCATTTGGGACAGTGTTTATCAAAATCTACTTAACTGTATAAACATAAAATAATTTTCCACGAGGAACCACCAGACTTATCAATTTTTGAAACCTGACGAGGAATTTGGATTCCGGAAAAAGGACCCAAGGCAATTCAAATAGGCCCGTGAGTTATTACAAATTAAATAAATCTAAGCAATCAAGAATTTGAGACATGTAAGATATATCCAATAATCTATAAAGAAAGCTGCAGATGAAGGATCAGTAGCAAAATTCTGTCTATAACAGAAACTTGTTTAATGAACATTAACGAAACGTTGTAGAAGATTAAAAGACTGAATTTAACTATTCTGCATGTACGCGTTTATAATGAATCTAAAAATAGTCAAAGAAAAGGTAAATTTATTTATAACAAAAAAAACAAACGGTAGAAAGTGTGAACAAAATATTTACATATGGCCATTGTCAATCTGCATTTTTGAGAAAGACGAATTATCTCTACAAATATGCTTGGACGTGTTCATCTTTAAATATGTTGAAAATGCCAATAATTATCAAACATAACTATATGAGCACTCGGGAAAAGAAAACTACCGTCTAGATAAGGAATTTGTTCTTCAATAGGTACATTAACTTTTAGTTAAACAACTTCCTTAAAACAAGGAACTGATTGCTAGGCTTTAGAAAATTTAAATTTCCAGATGTAAATCTGTAGAAAGCTGGTTTAAGATATACTATTTGCTACATGGAAGGATTACTGATCGAATGAATTTGGATGGAAATTGATGTAACTTCTTCTTAGCTTGGTGAGCGAGGGCCAATCCTTGGTGTGATTGTTTTAATTTTTGTGGTTGCTCTTAAATTGCATGTTTAATTAAGCATCTCCTATTCTCTGCTTCGACTCATTCCATATCAATACCAAATCCTGTAATAGAAAAGAAAATAGAATTGGCTAATAGATTTTCAACTGTGTTTCAACAAATACTGTTATTTAGAATAATAGCTTTCTAAGATTCATTATCCAACGTTCTAGTGGTACATCTTCTTTCGATGGTTTCTCACTCTATGATTGTATAAATTATCACTTGTATTTTATAATAACTTAAGACGTCAACTTCTTATACAGAAATTTTAAAACCAACATTCACACTCAGTAACTAAAGCCCCAAACAAACCAAAACTAGTTCAGAAGAATTACAAACAGCTAAAAAACATCAAACGAACAGTAGTTCACTAGACTATTGTTGTCACACAAAATTAGATTGTTCGAGTGAAATTTATCAAGCCTGACATCTTTAAATGAAAAAAATAAAAATGAATGAAAGAAAAAAACCAACACATATAGTTGTTATAAAGAAAATATTCAGCTTGATAATGCTTGATTCATTGAAAAGAATGATTAAAAATATACGGAATTTTCCATAACACCAAACAAGTGCAAATCTATGTATAAGGTTCATTATAGCAAGTCGTTCATATCCCTAACATGCTCTATAAAAATCAAATTTTAAAAATATAGTAATTAAAGAAGATATGAAAAATGCCTGTGACACAAAATAAGAAAATAATAAATTTATAACATATGATGATTCTCTTGAAGATGATTAAAGAGGATAAACTCGAGCAGATCTTGATTTTCAAGTTGAATTACAATTTTAGGTCAATTTTTAGTTTAAATCTCATTTCAAAGTTCAATTTTAAATCAACATTTAATAATGTCATTTGTGATTTATATGGTTATGATAATAAATTAACTTAATGTATTGATGGCTTAGGTCATTTTTATGAATTATTTTTAATTTTAAAAGTTTTTTATACATTTTGAGGCATACTCCGTACCTAGTTAAATAAAAAGCACATCAATTCCTGATTGCCTTTTTAAATATTGATATTTTTAAGTAGTGACAACAGAAAGAATTTTATCTTTCCAAAAGAATTAGAGTTATTAAATCCTCCAAAAAGTGTCTAATAATTCATCAAAACTAACCATGATCCAACAAGTGTTGTTAGACTAACTTCAATACATTAAATAATTACCAACAACAATTGGTTCATGATAGAGAACAAATCGTGGAAAATCAGAAAAATAAAATTTGAAAATTATATAGAGTAGAAGTATAACAAACTAATGTAGTAGAAAGACATTACCAACAAAGAACGCTCATGAACTTCATCTACAATAACATATGTACCAGCCAAGTCTTTGTCACTCTGCAAAGGTCACTCAATCATTATGAATATTTCAAAAAGAGGCACAGACATTTATGAAATAAAGAAGAAAATACCACAAAAGAAGCTTTCATTTTACTTGAACAATTGGCCTAAGTCACATTACCAGCTTTATCTAAACTATTTGAGGCTGGCTTTATGAATCCTAGTTTTTCACCCATTGAGTGTAACTTAATGTGTCAGCCATGTTTCTTTCAAATAATTTTGGATGATTTCAATTCAAGCTACCTAATGTCAATCACTTCTCTCTCTTTTAATACAAACTATGTGACTCACCTAATAGGTTCAATTTCTATCTTTAATTGCAAATGTTCAAAGTACTTAAATCTATTTTCAATTATCAAATTTTCAAAAAAAATCACACCAAAAAAAGGCTATGAAGAAACTAATTTGAGCTAAGTAATACATTGTACAAGCCCATTCATTTAGGGTTTGTTTGGGGTCGTTGCAGCTTATCCGGCTTATTCAGATAAGCAGCTTATCCTGATAAGTTATTGATCAGCGACTTATCCTGATAAGCTGACTGACTATTTGGTTTGAGTGTTTGGAAAACAACTGATTGACAGTTGTTTGTGGATAAATGACAATTCTGCCCCTGAACTGAATAAACTGTTAAGCTGTTTCGTTTGTGCGGTTCGAAAACAACTGATTTGCAGCTGTTTGAGGATAAATGACCATTTTGGTCCCACGCAGTGGTGTTGTTTGCAACAATAATATAATGGGAACACGTTCAACATTCAGAAAAACATATTTATAGATCGTTTTGTCCAAAGGATAAATTTGTTGCCTTTATAGACCGTTTTTTTATGCCTTGATGTAAACAAAAAAACAAACAGAAAAACATAATTATAGGCACACTTGTAAAACTTAATTTGCACGTAATACATAAAAAAAGATAAAAAAAAGGAATCAACATCAATGGGGATAGCAAATTGCTCGATGTGAATGATCGAACAAAATGATGCTAATAGTACACAACTAGAATTCCAAGAATTACCCAAAATCTAGAAAGGGTGAAGTTTATATATTGTACATGTGTGCTAATGAATTCAAGTAAAAATTTCATAACATAAAAAATTACATATGGATTTTCTCAAACCTAAAGGGCCACAACCACCCAAGCTATCCTTTTGGTTTCACATTTGAATGCAATAAAATAATTAGTGAAAGAAATTATTAATCATATTCATAGCAACAAATTGGGACCCTTATATGTTGAACTCACAAAAACCATTCTAGTGAAAGAATTCCAGGATTATAACAGAAAAAGAAAACACAATGCGCTAAGTGGTCGTGAGGTCATGAAAGCACATCACTATAGTGATATCTTAGCAAAAAATTCTTATTAAACGAATACAAGATATAATTTTTGGAAAATTAAAAGATGGCGGTATTTGCATTTATATTTTTCTTTTTCTGAATGAATGTTGGGACAGAACTTGACAATTTTCAATTAGCATATAATAAATTTTACTCAGAAGAGGTTCTTTTTTAGGACACACCAATTATTAACTAACCACTACACTCAGAAGAGGTTCTTTTTTAGGACACACCAATTACTAACTAACCACTATGAAATTAATCATGAATTTCTCGATCACACATTGCTAAGCTTTTTGATCTTTGAATTCATTCATCAGAAAACACATGATCATACTCTTTTAGAAATGGCAACGGAAACAAAATGGTAATATTAGTTCCAAAAATAAGACAATATAAAAAGAAAGAAACAAAAATTACATGTACAAAATGTGCAGATCTTAAATGTCAAGGGTAATCTTCGACAGAAGCAAATAGCTGCAAGTTAATAATAATAATATTAATAATAATAATAATAATAATAAAATTAGCTGCTCGAATTGAGCTTTCTTACCTCATAACAAAAAATTTCTTCAGTTAAAAAGTCATAATTCATCCTGAAAAAGGAACATTTCTTGGTTGTAGATTAACAATAGTTTTCGGGAACTAAAAATCTCTCAACCAATTTACACTTTTCAGAAACCCATTTGCCTTTTCTTAGATTTGTGTTTGTCAAACAAAAACCCATCAATCAACTACATTTCTTTATGAGAACCTAATATTGGATACATAACTTGGATTATCACCACATCAGAGATATAGAAAATGCAGACCTAAAAATTACCAAATTCAACAATTCGAGCACTTTATTGAAAAAACATCTTCGTGAGTAGTGTATTGCCCCAAATCCAACACAGATGGGAATCTCATGCTCTACATAAGTTCAATAATGATTTGAAGTTTTGTACAATATCTTAAAAGCTAAAATGGGAGCTCAATTGTTCAAAATAATACAAATAAAAGGGCAAGTCGATATGATGTTGTTTGGTAGGTTACTTGGTCAACAAAAAACTTGAAGTTAAACCCCTTTGACAAAGAATGAAATGGTAAACTAAGCTACAGAAAAGGATTTGTAATGAAACGTTAGACAGATTTTTAAACTTCAATGGAACAAAATTTTAGATAAAATATTTGAAGCTACATGAATAATATACTATATAGCTTTCCAGCTTCTTCTTCCTCCTCACCAATATGAAGCTCCAAAAAAACACAAAATAAATTCAAAATCCTCCTCACCAATTCGTCATTACAGCAGCTACAGGATCTCGAACTAGGGTAGAGCGAAGGTAAAACATATGCGAATGTTGTGGGAATCATCTACGAAGGAAGCAATCACCTGTCGCGGGAGTTGATTGCAATTGTCAGTGAGAAGCCTTTGCGGCTTTGCTTGCTCGGGAATCAATCGTGCCAAAAAGCAAAAAATGCCTTCATAAATCCTGAGCTCCCGAAAAATCCCAAAATGACACTGATTCGCAATAAATCCCATGAATCGGCGGATTCAGCAAATCCGGGATGAGCCAAGAGGAAGAATTACACGAACAGGCTTACCTTTCTCAATGGTTATGGTAGGAGCGGAGAAGAAGGATGAAAAAGATGAGAGTTTCAGAGGTCTCTGTAAGTCGCGATCCCATAGTTTCCTTCCCAGGTAGCTCTAATGGCGGTTATATAGCGAAGGTTCGTACACGAAGGAGATGGTTTTGGCCGAAACCACCAGAGGAAAGGCAGATAGAGCACAGACGAGGGGAGACGAGACGGATGAGTAGCGCGATAGGGCAGAGGAGAAAGGAACGTCGAGGGCAGCGGGGTTCATCCCATGGCCATGTTTATTCGTTATATCAAAACGCCATAAATCGAATAGCGGGACGAACACGCAAAACAAATTTTGAAAACGCCGCCCGCACAAATGAGTCACCGCAAACGGGCCCTTAGTTTCTTAACAAGAGAAAAACATGAAAATGACCAATGTCTTCATATCATGTTCAAACTTATTTATTAGTTTTCTTATCAAGTTTAAGCTATAATTGAGCTTCACTTAAACCAAACTACATATTTAATGTAAAAGATTTAAATATATAGCATTATTAAAAGACATACATGGATTTATAAATTTTAACCAATATAGATACAGATCATTTTTAATTGTTTAAGTTGTTTGTGGAAGTTCAAAATTTTACAAAATAAATTTTAGTTTTCAGATCAAAGCATTAGTTATTTCTTTGAAAATTTAAAAATTAATTTGTAAACCATTAATAATATACACAATTTTTAAAGTGCATGAGATAAAGTTTTAGCTCAAGAAATAAAATAAGTCATCATATAAACAATTAAGATATTGTTAAACGAGTAATTTATTAGAGCTCACAATGAGCTACTTATTAAACAACAAATGAACTACCTGTGAACAAAAATAAATGAGCAACTCAAAGTTCGTACTTATTCATTTGTACACCAAATTTTTTAAATTTTTGTTCCAGCTCATTAAATAATTTAAAAAAAGGAACATTATTTTTTAAAAATTATTTTATTGGCATTAATTATAATTTTTTTAATAATTTTTTAAGTAATTTCAAATATAATACTCTTCAAAAAATTTGGAATTTGATAAATAAAATAAGGTAAAAAATTAAAATAGTGTTAAAAGCATTTAAATATTTCAAGTATGAAATTTAAGAAGATAGAAGTAGATACAAATATTTACAAAATTTGTAATTTGAATATGATATTGATATTTAATTAAAATCATGTCATTGCATAAATTTGTAAATGATGAAAGAATTAAAACTAAATTTTATACCGTGAAGCATAAGCACTTCCAAATGGCTTTCAACATCATGTCTAATACAGGCACAGCTCTGGCACACCTTAGCACATGTCCATCACACAAAAAAGCCTTTCCAATGGAATCACGATTTTGATTGCAGAGGTTTTGCCAAAAGCGGAATCAGGTATCCCAAGATCACGAGTTCAAACAAAGGGATTACGATTCCAACATTCTAGTTTTTTTCTTACTTTTTTTGGTTTTTTTTTCCCTATTTAGTTGTTTCTAATAGGATTTTGTTATTAGGGACCTATTTATGTGCAGGTTTTTAATTTTTTCAACACTATAGTTATTGTTGTTGTGTTTGGAGATTTTTTCTAGTGTTTTGGGCTCTCCAGAGAGTTATATCATCTTACTTTTGCAAGTGGCGTGTTTATATCTTACTCATCAACAGATGATGGATCTCCCTCCCTGCCCTTACCTAATTGTTTCGTCACCACCCCTCTTATTATTTTTAGCATAAACAGCTCGAATCTGCTGTCCAACAGCATATTTCAACCCACACCCCCTTTTAAACACTGCCAGCCGCCCGCCCTATTTTCATTCACTTGCTATTCCACAACCACCTCCTCGCTAAAACTGCTTCCCAAACACCTTCTAGGAGTCCTAGAACATTGTTATCTTGTATCAGAGCCCCTAAAATTTTAGAGAATTTTCTTGCTTACTTCAAAACAAAAAAAAATCATACAATCTTTGATCCAAGAAAAAAAAATTCCCCCACCATACCCTAATTATTCTCTCCCATGTAACTGTCCATTTCTTCAACTACTTTGTGCTTGATAAAAGAGATCATCCTTCTATTTAA